GAACAATAGATGTAGACATTTGTAGCAGTTGAAGTTCTAAACATGTATGTATGTGCAGTTCTTCTTTTTTGGAGAAAACTCTCTTTCAGGATTGTTTTAAATATTGTGTAGCTTCAAAACTTTTGAACTCAATTTCCTTTTACACTTTGGGCTTTATTCAGATATACTGATTGGTTATTCTCTTGTATCAAACAAAGCGCCCGTGGCCTAATGGATAAGGCGTTTGACTTCTAATCAAACGATTGTGGGTTCGAGCCCACCGGGCGTGTTTGTTTTTTTTTCCTTGTATGCCACTTTATCAGTCTAGGTGACCACCGTGCGAGTAGAATATTTAGAGCATCCACATCAATGAACCCCCTCTTGGGGTTCATTGATTCAATTGTTTATTATTAAAAAAATTTAATTTTCTTTTTGATTTTTGTTTTTCAAAAAAAAAGAAAAAAAAAAAATTGATCAATCGCGGGTCGCCACGTGTCCCGGGACCCGTGCTACAGTGATGAACCAGGTTCACTGCAGAGAGTCTGCAAGAGACAGGTTCATCACTATTCCTTTTTTTAATATTTTTTTCTTTTTGAAAAACGTGTGAACCCCCCCATCTGAACCCTTGATGGGGGTGCTCTTAGTATCAGCTTTTCTATTGCATTTATAGATATTTTTGATAAAAATTGCATTTATAGATATTAATATCATAATTTTAAACTTTTATATATTGATTATTCTTATGGATTTGAAAACTGGACCAATCTGTTGAACTAGAATTCTTACATATTGGTTCTCATGGTTTTAAAAATTGGATCGGCCTCTTGAACTGGTTTGACATTGACTCGTTGAAAAATTCGATTTCAGTTTGATTTAAAATTCGGATTTAATTAAATCGGTAAAATTGGCAAAAAACGGTAAAGCAGGTGAGTTTGATCAACTTCAAAACCCGTTTTAAAAAAATTAACATATTTAATATGTTTTAATTGTAATTGAAATTTACTATTTGATAATCAATGTATGACTACCCATATTTAATTAATTTTCTATTTTATTTTCCTAACCAATAATGTCAAAAAACTATATTTTAGCTCTTATATATTATTCTTATTTTACTATAGTTATAAAAGTTGAGAGATTAATTATAAGAATAAATAAATATACGATACTCTAAGTGGTCAATCATTAGTTTTTAGCAAAATTTAATTTATATAGTATTCACTTGTTTACTATATATATACCTTAATTTATGTTTATTATTTATTTTTCTAGTTAATAAATATAAGATTATAATATATTATACATAGAATTACTTTTCAATTTGTATAATGTGAAAATATGATTTTTAATTTAATTCTTGAAAATAAAAATATAGTTTGATCAGTTGAACCGGTCCAACTTATTGTTATACCGAATCGCTATCTAATCCGGTTTTCAAAATATTAGTTATTCTACAGGATCATTTTCTGTTTTGTGCAAGTCAGGCAATTTCAAAATATCTCTAAAACTATAATCAATTATCCATCAAAATCTGTCAGTATAGTAAATGCTTTATTAGAATCCTCATTACTATTTCGATCCACAGTATTCCATCAATTAATTCGAATAAATTTGTTTTTTCTGTTGATTAAGTTCAAAATATTTGTGACTTTGTAATAAATTTTCAATGTATAAGTGGGTTAGTCTTATGGGACTTCTTCCCCCTTTTTTACTATATATGTCTGGTAAAATTACTACACACAACAAATTTCCCTGTCTATATATACATATGATATGGTCTTAAATTAGTGTCTGACTTTAACGGCGGGATTTAATTGTTAGGTATTACGAATTGAAACTAATACTAGTAAAGGCATGTACTGTACCAACATTTAACCTTCACTGTTATATTCATCTATAGCTTATTCATTATATTTTGCCTTCACAGTTATATCGATATTTATCGATGCAATGGTATAGTGTAATAACTAGTTCAATGGTGGGGACCTTTTCTTGATTATCGATCTTAGTAACTGATGGATTGAAAATTAAATGAAACTGTATACTATATAGTATATACTGAATTATTTTAGAGCAATGGATATAGAGTAATGAATTTGTTTTCTTGACATCTCAAAGAACAATGACAGCGGATATATAGTTGTTCTCTGGACGGGGTTGGTTTCTCCTCAATATCTGAGTTTTAGTTATGCCTGGCTTTTTTCCTTTCCCTATCTATCGCATGCATGAGACTGTTAAAAAAGGTTTGTATGCGCATATTATTTAATTTCATCGACAGTATTTACAGTCAAAAAATATTCACATAAAACACGTGTTTTCTAAAATGTTTTTATGTGAAATGTTTTCATAAAAGTCTTCGATAAGACTTTTATGATATGTCTTTAGCTGAAATAGTGGAATTTCATTAAGAAAAAGAGAGCATGATGAGTTGTTATCAAACGAGTCCTTCACAATGAATGCAATCATCGAAGTTCACTAAAATTTCTCAAAAAAAATCTATATTATAATGATACACTTTCAAGACTCCTAAGCCTATCCACCTCAGCAAGTTTGTGGGCCCTACGTGTGTTATTAGGGAAAACAAAAACATATAACATTTTGTAAGATTAAATGTTATCAATGAGTGATGAAATGGCCCAGTGGTGTAAGTTGGTGATTAGAAGTTGGTACCGCGAGTGCGCGGGTTCGAAACGTAGTGTTCGCATTAAAATTTTTTTTTAAAATTTGGGCTTTTTGGGATACCTAAAAACTAAAGATTCAGAGTGATTTTTTATGCTGGTTGTTGGGATACAAAATGGCTTAAGGATTTGAAACTTTATGAGACCATCTTAGATATTTTTATAAGAAATGTTATCATGTTCTAACCTCCAATATCATTTCAATTCAGTTATAATAATCAAATAAAATAATAACATATTTTTTCAATAATAAATATTTACCCCGAACCATTCAGATCGGCCATAAATCTCATATACATCACAATTAAAAATATATATATATATATATATACAACATAATTTCAGAAATAAAATTACACTAATAAACACATGTCATTTTTTTTTCTTGTCTCCATTAAATTATTTTTTTACATGAAAGCACTAATGACAGTAATGCTCGATAAAATCACTAATAAAGGGAATGCTCGATAAAATCACTACGAAGATAAAATATGAAAATATCAACCCATATGAATTTGATGTTTATTCTTTTATCAGACTAATCAAGTTGTGTGACTTCTAATGTTTCATTCATCACCATTATAGATAAGCCAGATAAACAAATGTTAAAAAAAAATTAGCAAAGTCTCATACACAAAACTACACAACACATCAACAATGTATTCAACCCCCGCGCTTGCGCGGGGACTATGCATCTAGTAAACAAAATAAAACACAGAGAAATTGTGATGTCTCATCTCTTTCAAGAGTTTATGATCAAAAGTTTCCCTTTTTTTCTTATGCACTGCCGTTAGTCTTAAAACTCGTTACTTATCATCAATCGGCTCAAACCCTATCTACTTGCTTTTAACATACAAAGAGGCTTCCTTTTTTTATTTTTACTTTATATTAAGCATTCATCTTCCTATCCTCTCTCCCCTCGAACACACACACTCTCTCTCTTATACTGTTACACATTAACCATTTGTTAAGTAGCAATTGAATATGGAGCGAGAGAGGGATTGTTGAACTGCAAGTTCATACAAGAATGGGGGGGGGGGTAAAGAGTGAAAGAAGAGTAGACAATAAGACTTAGTTTTCAAACTTGTTCTTTGATTTGGCTTTTATTGGTCATATACACTTTTTATATATATATGATCTACTTAGCTTTCAAAGGTAGCTTTTGGCCTCACCCTATACTAGTGACAACATTTTTCCATATTAATTTACACAAACATAAATATATATATAAAATATTATTTTAAGATGGTGTGCAAACAAGACAAAATTATAACTGAAAATCTTAGGGCCATGACAGGAGGCATGACCAAAGGAGAGCGGAACCACATTGTCAGTTTTATGGAGTTTTGGGGACCATTTAATTACTTTTCACTCTTTCTCTTTCACAATTTTAAGCTTAACTTTGACAAAAATAAGCACCCCCACCTATATTAATACGTGACAGTACAAGTACTATACAAAAATCTCATAAATGTTCATTTTACTTTTCAGCTACATCTATTTTCTACGTCTAGAAATCAGTCAATTAAGACGGTGGTTTTAATGATAATAGTGGCCACAAGTAGACTTATGTAAATGTTAAAAGTTCCAAGTTTAGAAGATCCGTTAAAATAATTAATCAGTTAGAATGTGATTACCATTTATTGGTTTTATACATCTTTAAAAGGTAAATTTTTGGTCAATTCCTACACTCTTGATTCTATAATTACTTAATAAAAATATATATTTCATGACTACATTTATATAAGAACCTCTATCTCTTTAGTAAAATAATTTTCTTTTAAATCTAAAATAGGCACATGGTCTCAAAATTCAAAATGTCCTGCTATCCTCACATTGTGTTCTTAATTCAAATAAAACAATTATCCCAAAATATTGGTTTCCAAGCCTGACCCCATGGATACAACAAAAATATGCCAACCTATACAAATGCTAGAGACTTAATATGGATGATGCTTGATGATGTGGAAGTAAGACAAAATTATATCACACTTTCCTTTACAATCTATAAATTCCAAAACAAAAGGCACTGTTGGGCTGCTCCCTTATTAGGTGAAAAAAATCTCATACAACACACACACACTGACACACATCTCACACCCTCTCCATCACTATGTCTATATCTTCCCTAAATGCATCCAACTAAATATATTGCTTTAGGCACTGCATGCCCTCGTAGTCTCACAGTTTGTTGCTCCTTCAAAAGAAAAAGTGTGGTCCTAATTTTCTTTTCTTCAGCTTCTTCATCATATTAGATCCTATAAGTTTAATGCTTTTTAACTATCTCTCATATCCTCTTCTATATATTAAGATTCACAAGAACTGAGAAGAATAATAAAACAAATGGAATGGTCAACGACAAGAAACTTAGAAAACGTGAGAGTTGCTTATATGCCGCCGCCGTGGCCGGAGTCAAGCTCCTTTAACTCGCTTCATTGCTCCAGCTCTGATCCTTATGCAGGTAATATATGCACACAGTTATATATTATTGATTACTTAAATACTCCCGTTTCTTTAATTAGTTGCATACGTAGTTCTATCTTTTGGGGTTAGGTTATCAGTCCATATATATTCACCAATGTTAGTTTATATTGTATGTGACAAACCCATGAACTATCAAAAAAAAAAAAACTTATTTCCCCACTTTCAATTTCTTTTTTCTCGTTGAAAGTTATATTTTTTTGTTTCCATTTGTTGTATACGATTTATTTGAGAAAGTATTCCAAAGACCTTGGGATATGTTACTTACAAACGTTACTTTTCCTGATATGAGAAGTTAAGATGTTCTTATCTTCAGTCTAGAAGATTTAATGTTTAAGATTCTTTTTTTTTCTATGGATCCATAGTACCTTTTCTTGGGATCCAATTCTAAAAAGTTAAAAACGTCACTTTTGAAAAGTTGAGATTAGCTTAGAGCATGTTTATTACAGATCTCTTAAACTGGGTTTCTTTGCGTAAGGTCCTTCAACTTTTAATTAAAAACGCTAAGGGATTTCTCTTAGCTCTCTTATTTAAAACCGTCCCTTAACGCTTTTAGTTAAAAGGTAAAGGACCGTACGTTAAGAGACCCAACTTAATGGACCTACACTAAACATGTTCTTATGTTCACTGTTGTGCATTTTTTAGCCTTTTTGCTACAAAAAAAAATTTATTGTTGTTGTTACACTAGGAAATTCATACACACCCGCAGATACGCAAATCGGGCAGGTTATCTGTGTACCGGAATCAGAAAAGATAATCAATGCGTTCAGATTTCCGAGCAACAACAACGAGATGATAAAAAAGAAGAGACTAACGAGTGTACAATTAGATTCACTTGAACGATGTTTTCAAGAAGAGATCAAATTAGATTCAGACAGGAAGATGAAGCTGTCGAGAGAACTTGGTTTGCAGCCACGTCAGATAGCAGTTTGGTTCCAGAACCGCCGTGCACGATGGAAGGCTAAGCAGCTCGAGCAGCTGTATGATTCACTCAGGCAAGAGTACGACGTTGTTTCTAGAGAGAAGCAGATCCTGCACGAGGAGGTATGTGTACCACTACCATATATCACTATTTTTTTAAAAATATTGAATATTTTTGTTTTCTTGTTTTATTACTTAGTTCTTGATTTTCTTGTTGTTTTGTGAGGCAGGTGAGGAAGCTAAGAGCTCTACTAAGAGAACATGGATTGATCAAGAAACAAATCTCCAGTGGGGAAAACATGACGGAGATTCCATCGGTGGTGATAGCTCATCCAAGAACGGAAAATATAAACAAAAATCAAATCGCTGGAGAAAATCAAATTTCTGGTATTGATCAATACAACAACCCGATGGTCATCGCTTCCTCTTGCTGGCTGCCTTACCCGTGATAGGCTGATAGCTGTTGCTTATCCTAGAGAGAGTGTGAGTCTCAGACAGAGCTTTAGACAAGGCAGGGGCATTAAAGTTGCGTTAGACTAAGACAAGCTTAATTTTGTTTTATCATTGTGTGATCTTAAAACATTATAGAACGTTCTTGTGTTGTGTCCCAAGCCAAAGAATATAATTCATTTCACAGTTATTGCCTTTTCCTTGTGCGTTGTTGTTGTTGCAACTTTCTTTGCTTTCTCATTGTCCTTTTCATTTTTGCAATAATATTACATTTATTTTCATACCGTTATTTGATGTACACAGTAAATATGAGCTTTGAAGAAGGCTTCAGTTGTAAATTCTAAATATCTTTTACATTTCGAGTTAGAGGTGAAAGATACCTGAAACATCACGATCATATTAGTTAAAATAATTATAAAAAAAAATCGAAAACACGCCCAAAAGAATGTGCAAACTTGAAGAACCAAAAAATTGTGGAAATCCTCAAATTTCTAAAATAAGAATGTCAATCTAGGGCTCAGATTGAATATTAGGGTAAAATTCGTTTTCACTAGTTAACTTAAAAACTACACCAGGCCCATAGGAACGTCTTTTTGCTTTTCTTTATCAGGCCAATAGAAACATTATACAGTCATATACTAACACGAACAATACAATTTAACCCAGTAAGGAATCCAAGTTGCATGAAAAGGGTTTTCGTGAAATAGATTTTTTTTACTTCCGTAATAAAAAGTAGATAAATGTCCAAGTGTTTGTATAAAAATAGAATAAATAAATTTATGATGCCAGTGTATAAAAGAGTATTGGACGCAAGACGTGAATCTCAAGAAACACTTGGAATAATGATACTTCCGATTTCGAAATCCCGAGAGAAGAGGTACAGAGCCGACTAAAGTGGCCGTAGAAAGTGACTTGAGAACCATTCGATATTATGACGTGATCAGATATACATTACGAAGCTTTGCCACTCTGTTGTTTTCCGTTGGATCCATTGCTACTGTTTTGGGCCTAGTCACGTACTATATGTCAGCAAACCTGAGAGCCCAATATTGGTAATTAGCATGTTTATTTCTTCGGCTTTCGAATCAAATGAATAGCTACCAACTCAAATACTTGTAACTTTCGAAAGAGAAAAAAAAACAAAGAATTTTAGTGGTTTTGTAAAATCAAACCGGATATATATCACTATATTAATTTGGGTTTAAGTGGATAGAAGACTCGTCATGTGGATCAATGATATAGACCAAGTTTGACTATCCTATATAAGAAAAAAATACAAACAATGATTCTTTTCCTTTGCATAAAAATGGTAATTTGCAAAAGCAATCTCAGATATTTTTAATTATTTTAACTACTCAACCAGAAGAAAATCATACAAAACTGACATGAAAAGTCCCCAATAAATTTTTACTTACAACGGTACTATATTACTTTAAAAATCTAAATATTATTGATTTTATTTTTTTAAAAAATTATAGTATTATGGAAAATACAGTTCTAAATATTTGTTCTAACTACGAAAATTATTTCTGAAAAGTTTCAGAAAACATCGAAATGGATTCTTCTGATTCCGTCTGAGATCTTAGTTCTGGGCCTTCCTTTTTGTCTAATGCATGCATCTGACTCGTTAAAGTTCTTGAGGATTTTAATTTTAAATTTATTAATTTGACGCATCGCATCAAAATGTTAATTTTTGTTGTTTTGAAGTCTCTATCTATATTACGTGAAATCGCTAACCATGATTCCAGTCAATCAATTACGTTCTTAGCGTAGGAAATTAAGAGCCGGCCGTTGCTAGTAAGAAACAAATAGTTATTAAAAGAAAATATATGGGGAACAAAGATTTCATTATTTGTTATCGTACGTACGTAAATAATATACAAAAGTTGGAAGGAGCGGTGAACTGTGTACAATTCATAAATTAATGATATAAATTCCACAAATTTAGAGTCTCATGATGAGTTGTACTCTGCACACTTTTATTGAAACTTTACCTTAAGTATATGGTTTTTGGATACCTAAGAAAACGGGTTTGATTTTCTATTGATCCACACATAATATCAATATAAGTATATGTGTATACTGTGCAAGAGTATCCAGAATGTTATGGACTTGAGGATTAATGTCAATTTTGGCATAATGTGATATCAACTACTAAAAATGAAACACTAATTATAGAAATCGAAAAATCAAATATGTGTTTGTTGAAGTTGAAGGTCTTAGCTAAAAAATTATCATAAGTGTTACTATAAAAGTACAAATGCACTTTTTGGAAGAAACGTTGTATCAGACAAAGGCGTAATATTTCTTTTTATATATGTATGACTTCCTGATGCTTACTATCTGGAAGTCCTTTGATACTTAATTTTCCTACTTTTTGTTTTTTTTTTTGGCTCTTTTGTTAAATTTTATTATGTTGCTATACGGTTTAAAATTCTTCTTTGTTGCTTTATCGGTTACACTCTTTAAATAGATGATCTACCTAGCTATCTGTGTTGATTCTTCGCTTTCAAAAGTTGCTTTCAAGTTTGCTTTTAGCCTTTCAGGTGACTGTGCATATGTACGTTTACCATATAGCTTTTGGCCTTTCATGTTACTGCACATATATACGTTTATCATAGCTTTTGGCCTTTCAGGTTACTGCACATTTAAACGTTTCTGTGAGTTACCAATGGTGACAAACGTACGTTTTGCATTATATAAATTTTGCTATATTTACAGTGTTGCGTGTATATAAGACAAAAGAAGAGTACTAAATCTCAGTGCCAATATTGGATGCATATATATATGAATGATACCGAAAGTAGAGAGGAGAATCATCTTGTCAGTTTCTATGGAGTTTTGTTAGGGGACCATTTCACTTATTTTAACCTTGACTTTGACCATTGAGGCATTGATACCCCCACATGTATTAATTACGATAAGTTTCAAAACTTCATAGAAAATGATCAGTGTTCCGTCAATTTTCTTTTCAACTACATTAACGCTTCCATGTCTATAAAAGATCAGTCAGTTATACGAATTTGATTGAAATGTTAGCCCACAAGTACGTTTATGTAAATGCTAAAGGCTTTCAAGTATCTATAATAAAGAATCTACGTTGCTTTTGCCATATATTTTGATGGAATTTATGGAGAAAATTGACATTTTATTTCTCGAGTATTTGAAATTGGCAATTTAAATAATTTTAACTAATAATTGATTACGGAAAATTAGGAACATAACTGTCGATCGTTACCTAGTTAACGGAAAACAATGTTTCGCGTACACTTTTTAACAGTTGACTATTCGAATCATTTTTTTTATTTTTTTTTGACAATTCGGATCATGATCTTGCAGAAGCAATAGTTAGTTGAGGAATAAATATGCGCATATAATACTTGCGTATTTAATTTGTCGATTGAAAATACTTGAGAAATATAAAACATCATTTTTAAAATTATAATTTAAAATCTTTCAAATTAAATACAATCAATATTAATATTTTAATTTTTGAAAGAGATGTTTGAGCTTTTATAATGACATATATAATAAACAAATAATTATAGTTGCATTATATTATTGATGTGTTTATAAAATCACATATGGATGATTTCATATCATTTAGAGAATTATATGTTGTACATTCGATCTCTACTTTAGACTAGGGGTGGGGAAAAAAATCGAACCGAACTGAGTCAAACCAAACCAACTAAACCGAACCGAGACACTGAATAAAAAAACTAGTGTGTTTTTTTATTATTATTTGAACACTAAAGTACTTATTAAATTTATACAATATACCAAAATACTAACATTAAAGTCCCTATTAACTTTTACTAACAATATTTTCTTAATTTCCATTTACTTTAATTACCTTTGATTGTGTGTGTTTAAATATTTTTGGTGTTTTTAAGAAAAAAATATTTCAGTTTTATATTGGATTTAGTTTACATAATTTATTTTTTCATAGTCACCAACATGATGATTTCATGACCATATGTTTATGTTTTAAAACATGATTTTTCTTAAAAGAACTAAACTAAAGAAACCTGATTAAACCGAACCAAAAGACAAACAAAACCAAATATAAACCGAAACCGATCCAAACCAAACTAATTAGGGTTACTTCATGTTGGAAAAATTTTAGAACCAAATTAACTAAATCGAAGAGAGTCAATTAAATAATCGAAATACCCACCCTAGTTTAGACAATCATGTGTAGTTACCTATACTTTAGACTATCATACAATATTTTTTTGAAAAAAAACAAAATCCATTTCTAGAATTAAGTATCTTGTATATTTGTTCAAATTGAGGATCTTTTTAATTAGGAATAATTTTAAAAATCATCTTAATTTATTTTATAAACATGAAATACAATGCAACTATAATTATTTGTATTATTGTATATGTCATTGTAAAATCTCAATCTCTTTCAAAAAATAAAAATGATTGTATCTGACTTTAAAAATCGTTTAAATTATGACTAAAAAATAGATTGATGTTTTAAATTCCTCAATTATTTTCAACAGACAAATTTAATACTCAAATATTATATATCGATATTTATTCTTCAACTATTCCTTAACTGTGCAAAATTATTATTCCAATAGTCTACAATTAAAAGTTGACGGAAACTATTATCTTGTTATTAACTAGTTAACGGTTGACTATTATATTCCTAATTTCGTCCAGTCAACTATTAGTTGGTGAATAATATTAACATTGCTTTTGAGTATATAACTGAGTTGCATAGGATTTTCTAATCCAGTAGATAATATACTCTTCAAAAATACAGACCTGAAGTATAATAGTGGCAGGGGGGAGAGTTGTCAACAACAGTAATTAAGAAGTAATAAAATGTAAAATTTCACCATGACTATTATTAAGCAAATGCACCCGGTTTAGCAAATACATGAATTAATCCCTACAACCGTTCCATAAAGTTGTTTACAAGAGTAAATCTCAGCCACCAATCGGGTTGGTTTAAACCGGTGGGCCTTTTAAGGCAAACCCAACATTTAAAAAATACAAGGTTAAAAGTTAAATACAAGTAGATCTGGCTGTTTGGAATTCCAATTGGATTCGGTTCAGTTTAGGATTTACAGATTTTCCGTACCATGCTTACAAGTTCTATTTGGGTTCTACAAATTATCGAAACATATTCGGTTCCTTCTGATTCAGTTCAGATCAAATTATAACCAATATATAAAATCATCTAAAAATATTTTTAAAACTAAAAACGTTTGACAAAAAAAATACTTAAGATATATAAATTATTCACAAATCTAACTAAACAGTAGTTAAATTGTCTAAACTAACTAAAAGTTATTCAAACTAACAACTAAAATAAACTATAAAAATCTTTAAAATACTCTAAAACATCTAAATTACCTTAAAATATATAAATATAGTAACATAGTTAACTAATTTTGGATATAGTCAGATCCAAATTTGGATTTTGGTTCGATTTGGATTGTGTCCATAACCCAAAATACCGAGTTCTCAAATCCCATTCCCATTCAGATATTTTTATATAATGGTTTGAAGCCGATTTTAATTTTTTCGGTTCCGATTAAAGTAGGAAGTTCGGTTTAGGGTAAAATGCCCAAACCTAGATACAAGTACAACAATTATATCAATTTACGTATATCTTAGGGATGACGCATGATGACGTACAAGTGAGACCAAATTAATATCAAACTTCACCCTTTACACTCAACCTCAACCTCTATCATTTATCTTCCTATAAATTCACCTCTTTCTCACTGCCTGATCTCACACTTCGTTGCATCTCCAAAAAAAGTGTTTAGAGGTAGAAACTTATCGTCACGCTTGAATGGTGCAACAAAACCCTAATTTTGTATTTTAAAATCACTCGGTACGTAAAGTAAAACCCTAAATTTTCTTCCTATTTAACCATTTCTCATATCTTCTTATTAGATACACAAGAATAGAAAAATAAGGAAATGGAATGGTCAACTACGAGCAACGTTGAAAACATGAGAGTTGCTTTTATGCCACTGCAGTGGCTGGAGTCTAACTCGTCCAATTCTCTCCACAACTTCAGCTATGATCCTTATGCAGGTATATTTATTTACATGAATCATCTTTATATCCATAGTCCAATCTCTTTGTGGCTTTGTTTGTAATGGAAATAAGGCTTATAGTTTTAATTCACCAAAATGTAGGTAGGTTTGCATTCTAACATTTAGAACATATACAACAGTAAGTGCTGGTTAATTCCACGTTAGAAATATTCTTGAACTTCGATTTTGTCACAATAAACCATTAACCTAATTTTCCCACTTTCAAGTGTTTTGAAGTTCGAGTCATGTAATGATGAATTTATCTGCGGAAACATTCCAAGGCGGCATTCGAAAATTTAAATACAGGATTATGTTAATCTAGAGCGTTACTTTCGGATGATAGAAGATAAGGATTTTTTATAAATACTTTTCCAAATGATGTATGTTTTTAATTTTCACACATATTAATTAAACAAATATATTAATAAATGTATGAATATGTTATTAGCTATTTCCCATAATTTTTTGCCAACCAAGTTTCAGCAAATATAATTATGTCTCCAGAGTTTAAAATTTATCGTTATTATATTTATTCAAAATGTAAAATATATCATTTTTAGAAATATTTTTTCTAAAACATTGATTATATTGAAACAGATGGAGTAATTTTTTTTCTTGAAATTCGGAAGTGTTTCAGAAAAAATAAACATACTATTATATCATATCCTTTTAGTTATTTCTTATGCAATGAAATCAATTTGAGAGTTTTGCCCAAAATTATTCTAATTATTTTAATTAAAACAGTCTTTAAGTAATAGTTTCTTTCATGAAACAAAAACAATGGCTATAAGAAAAGAAACAAAAACCTTACATATCATTGAGTTTCCTGTTTCTTGAGCTGAAGATAAATAGCTGTTCAAAAAAAAAAAGAGCAGAAGATAAAATATGAACATTTTGTTTTGAAAAAGAGCCCATTTTATTCTTATTTTTGTTTATAGATTCCCATTTTATTTCTGAGAGAACATTTCTAGACGCCATTATTAAAAATCTTGGGATCATCTCACTTTCTGATAAAATGTGGGATATACACATATATAGCACATATATTCTTATGACTTTCTTGGGAACCATGCTCAGTTGTTTGTTTTAAACGTCGCTTTTTCAACTGTTCTGAGATTTGTTTCTTATTATATTTTGAAATCATTATTGTAAAACGTTTGTGTCGTTTCCTTTGTTTTTAATGTTAAAAGTTGTACCAGGAGATTCGTCTACGCATGTCCTTACGCAAATTGGACCGGTTGTCTCTGCAGTACCGGAATCCTCAGAAAAGATCACCAATGCGTGCCAACGCCCAAGTAACGACAACGAGATGACAAAGAAGAAAAAGAAGCTAACGAATGAACAACTAGCTTCACTTGAACAGAGTTTTCAAGAAGATATCAAATTAGATTCAGACAGGAAGCTGAAGCTGTCAAATGAGCTTAGTTTGCAGCCACGTCAGGTAGGTGTTTGGTTCCAGAACCGCCGTGCACGGTGGAAGGTAAAGCATCTCGAGGAGTCGTACGACTCGCTAAAGAAAGAGTATGACGTGGTTTCGAGACAGAATCAAATGCTACACGATGAGGTATACATATGCACCATAATAAAATGATCATATAAAGTAATTTATCCTTTGTTTTATCTCTTTATTTTTGTAACGCAGGTGATGAAGCTGAGAGGTATAATACTAAAAGACCATTTGATGAAGAGGCAATCATCATCAAATCTGAACAACAATCAAATCGTTGGAGGAAGTCAAATTTACGGCACTGATCAATACAATAACTCGACGTTTGTTACATCTACTTGCTGGCCCCCGTTATCATCGCAACAGCCCTATCCATGGTAGGTGTTTCCAATCTTGAAGAAAGCGAGATTCACATCGAGCTTTACATTTGCTGAAGTATTAGTTTTAACTTTTAAGTAATAGACTATGGTAAGTTTTTGCGCATTGTACTATTTTATCATATAATTAAATGGAACGTTTCCGTGTCTGAAAAGCTAAACCTAACAATATTTTGGATCGGCAAATGGTTCATAAAACGTTAGTATACTTAGAGCAAATCGGCAAGGACACAAGACAAACAATCTTAAAAGAATATGTCACAACAAAACAAGCTAGTGCACTATTAACCATTGATCCGATTTTCATGTAATTAAAAAGATGTATCAAGATCTTCATTATAATTTTCTAAAACTTAATTTAATGAGTAAATTCTAAAACGAGGGGAAGCTTTGAAGTCTGAAACAACGTCAATTATTGTAGTAAATTAAATTGACATGGAAACTGTCAAGCGCCATGTGTATTTGTACAGAAAGCAAAGGACTTCAGGTCCGATCAAATATAATCTAGTTCATGTCTCAGACTGATCAAAACATCAGACCCAACGCGTGAATCCCTATAAAATCATAACAAATAATTCGCAACTATTAGATAAGTTTTTTTGTTAAAGGAACTATTAGATAAGTTCCTATTTCAACAACCCGACAAAACAATATAGAAAAGTACATGTAGAGAAGGAGATTGATAAAAAAATTAAATTGTTAACTATAGCCATAGTCGTTGCTGCTGATGCCCCGTCGTCGTCAAAATTCCCACTCCCGAGGCTCAAAAAATTGTAGTCATTGACGAATACGTTAATGACGTACGTAAAATTCCTCAAGTGAACACAGAAATAATGAAGCTGCCACTATTATTTTTTCATGGACCTATCGCTACAGGTTTTGGCCCATCTAAATGTCAGACATGCTGAGCCCAAACTTGATGTATATAGACAAAATAATTAATTGACAAACAGAATACATTAAACACTAAATATATCTCTACTAGGTGTTGGGCCCGCCTTGCGGGCATAATCTTCTTACGGATATCACTCAACATGATAAATTATTATTTTGACAATTATCATATTAATTTATAATCAAATTTTTAATTTTTATAATAGAAAAATATTATTTCAAGATAACAACAACATATCTATAAGAATTATCTTATTTTTGTAATATGTATTTATTTTGTCAATTATAATATAAATTTATAATCAATAATCTAATATAACACATAAATCTAACGTTATTAACTTATTATTATAAATTTTAATTATATAATAAATTATATATAAATTCATTAAGGATATAAGCGATATTAACCATTCTAATTTTCCGATGCAAAAAATTCCAGATAACAACATAATATCTATAAAAGTTATCTTATTTTTGTAATATGTATTTATTTTGACAATTATCATATTAATTTATAATCAATAATCTAATATAAGTTATAAATCTAATGTTATTATTATAAATTCGTTTTTAATTATATAATAAATTATATAAAAATTCATTAAGGGTATAATTGATATTAACCACTCTAACTTTTAACGTGAGAGCTCCGTTGCGAAAAATCACTTCGCAAATAATAGTATAGATAATATTATTTGAGAAGTCACTTTCTTATGTGTCACGCTCACGTTAACTCTCACGCTGTTTGATTACTATGATACCCCTAATGAATTAAAAATATATTTAAATATTATTATTTCCTTTTTAAAATCTTCCAAATAACAATATAAAACAAAAAGGAAATATTTCTAAAATTTACAAAACTATTTAAAAACGAAAATAAGTATATATATAATATGGTTTCATAAAAAAGGAAAGTTTACAAAATAGTAATATTTAACTTAAATATATTTTTAAATAACATAAATTATACTTTTTAAGTAATCTCTATAATATTATTTGATAAGTCACTTTCTTAAGTGTCGCGCTCACGTTAACTTTCACGCTGGTTGATTACTATGATACCCCTAATGAATTAAAAATACAATTAAATATTATTTTCTTTTTAAAAATTTCCAAATAACAATATAAAATAAAAAGGAAACATTTATAAAATTTACAAAACTATTTAAAAACGAAAATCTAAATATATATAATAAGGTTTAATAAAAAAAGAAAGTTCACAAAATAATAATAATTAATTTAAATAACATAAAATATACCTTTGAAGTAATAAAATACTTTATATCTATATCTTCTTAGATAAAAAAACAATATCTGTATATAATGAGATTTCATAAAATAAATTTCACACAAAAAATATTGCTATTAGAAAAATGAATATTTTTCCTTAAAAAAATAATTTTAAACAATAAAATATATCTATTTTCAAAATAATTATTTTTGTATATATCTATCTATTTTGTTAGATGATTACATAAAATAATCAACTAACATAAACTGATATATGTTTAACTGACATTTTTTTATAATTAGTATTATTGAAATTATTTTTTTAGTATATTTATTTGACTATAATATCTTACAATTACAGTAAAAATATAAATTCTATTTTACTTATATAGTATAATTTCTCAAAAACAATCACTTTTTACTGACTATTTTAAGAGATACTTAAAATAGAACTAAAAATAAATTTAATGATAAACATCTTTTGATCAAGTAACTACAATTATTTTAAAATATCATAACACTATATAATTTAACGAGGTAGATATATATTTATGTTTTAATAGTTAAAATTATCTGTTCTAAGAATAAAGATTCTGATTTACTTAAGTATTTTGATTATGGTTATATTAAGTTTCACAAACATAAAAACAGAAAATAACTACAATTATTTTAAAATACCATAACACTATATAATTTAACGAGGTAGATGTATTATATTTTAATAGTTAAGATTATTTGTTTTCTTAATAATCTTTTGATTTTTTAATTTTTTGTTTTTATGTTTGTGAAACTTAATATAACCATAGTCAAATACTTAAGCAAATCAGAATCCTTATTTTTAAAATTATTTAAAATTATTTAAAATAAATTTCAGTTTACCATCCAAACAATCTAAAGCATAAATTTATTTAGAATTTATAAAAAAATTTAACTATTGTAAATATTGATATGTGTTCAAAATCTTCTAAAAATTCATTAGTTACTTATGTATTTAATTTAGAATCAGAAACTTTAGTTTTTATTTTTTTTCCTTCTAAGCACAAAAAAAATCTTAAGTTATATATAATCTTATTAAATATACTTATATTTCTAAGATAACAACCAGTATAAATGCAAATAAGACAATTAATCAAAAATTTAATATTTAAAAATATAAAGATAATTTTTGAATTCAGAGAAATATATAGAATCCAATATATCTAAATGATAACTAAATCGACCGTAAAAACAATAAAACAGACTAAATAACATATCTAAAATTATATATATAATTAAAGTAATATAATATTATAATATAAATTAGACATACAAACTATAAATTAATTTAAAAATTAAAGTAAATATCAATCAGTTGTTATTGTATATTTATTTTATAAATATACATGCCCGTGCATGAGCACGGGAAAATCACCTAGTTCACCTAATTTTCAGGTAGATTGTCGACAAAAAAAAAAGGTAGATTAATGACAATATAATTAATTGACAGGCAGATAAATGTTTTCATACAAAATTTATTACCAATATCAATGAAAAAAACACTGACATTATTTGACATGAAAATATTTATACATGAACAATTTCCCTGACATTTTCGAAAGTTTTCATTTCATACCCAAAACAAACAAAATCTACAAACACACCCTAAACTTATACCTCACGAATCCTCACATTCAACCTCCTCACCCAAATGGAATGAAGAATCATATGAAACACATCAAACCTCTTAGCCGGGGAGTTCACTTCAAAATGCCTCCTTACCTTCAACACTCTCCGGTACATCCTTAGATACTGTCTCGGAGATATTGACGTCAAGATCGTCTTCAAATTTGGTATGTCCTCTACAGAAACGATAACCGAAAACGACGCCCAATTCAACACATCGCTGAAAGGAGGAACGTACCCTGAGTTTATTAGAACCGGAACACAACCTGAGTAAAGTGCCTCGACGATCCTAGGGCTAGCAACCTCGTACCCACTAGGACATATGCAGAACTTACTGTTCCGCATCATGTCGGAGTAAGACGTTCCTTTGGGAAGATATTTGTGTACTCTAATGTCATTATCTTTATCCTCCCAATGTTGGAGTAAGACCGGCCTTACCGGTCCGTGTACACCTCCTGCGAAGAAGGCTAGGATCGGGCGGCTAGAAGGTGATGGGCCACCAACTAGTCCTTTTAAGGAACCCGTTATTAAGTTGATCTCAGGTATGGAGACATCTTTTCTCGGTTTGAATCTCTCCGACGTGTTGGCATTGCATAGAGCTCGGATAGAGTTTTGTCCTAGATGTGGATGAGAAAAGCTTGCCTCAGGACCCTATGCCAAAAACAAAACCAAGAATATAACGATAATTAACTAATATATACAACGAGTAACGCGTGACACACACAAATATGTAACACTAGCTAGTAGCATACCCAATCGTGGCATGAAAGTATGAAATGGTCAGCTCCGATGCTGCGGTTCCAATATGGGTATTTATCTCCCACAAGATCAATGTAGTCCCTGACGGTTTTTCGGATGGGGCTAAAATCATGGGAGTCACGTTCATACACATATCTTACCATCTTGACGACACTGAGGGGTAAATAGAAGACGTGGGCCTTGTCCGGATTATTAGTACGGAAACGAGTATCCGTTTCCATCTCGTAGATGAAGTTTCCTTCCATAGAGTATATGCTTTTGCATGGACCATCGTGAAACAACGGTGGCTCGCCTTCTTTATACACAAATATTTTGAAATTTTTTTCCATCTCCAAGTAGCTCCTAACCAATCCAATACAAAATAAGATCAAGCATTAGTACGTCGTTGTCATGCCAATAGTGTCATACCGTTCTCTACGTTAGATCGATCCCACATGAAAAAACATCAATATA